TGCCAGCTCCCAGGCTCTGGGCCCGCGGTTCTGGGCCCGCCCTAGGCAGAGCTGTGACTAACACCCCTTCTGCCGCCCTTTCCCCTGCCCCCGGATGAGGTGGGGGGAGATTCCGTTACCTGACCAGGTCAATGAACCTCTCCCTTGGGGCGTCACTCACATCCTCATCGTTTATGGCCACAATCTGGTCTCCTGCCAGGAGCTTATCCTCAGAGGGGCCTCCTGTCGGGGAGAAGAGGCCGTGTCAGAGTCCCTGCCAGCAGAAGGGAGCCTCCCGTGTCAGCGTGGTGAGGGGGCGGCAGAGGAACGGGGCCATTCTCAGAGCCCAGCGACGGGGCTCTCTTGCCAGCTCGGCTGCCCGCACCACTCACGCAGGCACCAAGGGCCATGGCTTGTCTCACAGCCCTCCTACGTGGCCTGCTCCTGTTCCACAAGAAACCGGCGCCACGCCGGGGACCTGCTCCAGCTTGGCTAGGGGCCCCACTCGCAGGAAGGGCTGAGACCCAGACGGAGGAAGGTGTCTGCTGGCGCCATGGGGAAGAGGGAGCTGGCTTGCCCAGTGATGCCCTGCTCTCTTCCTCCCACACGCACTCGATTCAGGGGCCCCCTCCCGCGTTCCTGCCTGTGGCCCCTTTCCTTTGCCAGCCTGTCCCAGGCCCTGAGCAACGGCAGCGTCTGTCGGGACAGGGGACTCAGGGCAGCAGCAGAGGCTCCAGGTGCTGCCCAGGCGGAGAACGCCTCCTTAGGGCTGGCCAAGGGGCTAGTAACCATGGCGCTGCCGGTGCCACCTTAGCAGTGGCATGTTGTGTGTCCCCCGCCCTGAGGGGCTCTGCCTCCTCCTGGGCTCCTCTGCCCCTCAGTGGATGCGCTCGGCCACCCTCCTCACACAGCTCCAAGCGTTTGGGTCGCCCTGTTGGCCAGCCCGGGGCAGGCCTGGCTCACCCGGGTCCTGGCTGCCACGGGCACTGCCCCCTCTCCAATGGGCAAGGCCCCCAGGAGCACAGGGCACGGACTGGGGGTGGTTGCTGTACCTCCAAGCTCCCTCAGACGCCATCCCGTCAGTTGGGGGGTCTGAAGGCCCCATATCTTCCTAGCCTCCGCCCCACTGTCCTCCCCAGGTGTGAGAACTGACCCTCAAACCCATCCCACCTGCACTCCCGGGTCTGCCTCAGTTTGCCTGCCAGCCCCAGCCGCGGAAAGGTCCTGTCCCGCTCTGCCCGTTCCTCACTTCCCGCCGGTTGCGGCTGCTCCGCTCCGGACAGCCCCTCTCCCCCTGCCTACCTGCTGTTACCGAGCGCACCACCACCGGCCTCTCGCTGCCAGCCACGAAACCAAAGCCGTAGAGGGGGTCCCGCTGGATTGTCACCTGTCGCAGAGCGTCTGAAGGCAGCTGGCCACATTCCATAGCATCACCGCTCTCCTCCGGCATCACATGGCTGGAGAGGGAGAGAGGGCGAGTGACGGCCGTAGCCAGCCCGCAACACAAGGGCACCAAGTCCGTACACTGACCAACCCCCCCACCCAGGCACATTCTCCACCTGCCGCGTTACGCTAGGGAGAGGAGCCATACAGCTCCAGGAGCGCAGCTCTGAAGATTTTCCCCCCAGGGGGGCCGTGCCTTGCCTCCTGAGGGAGCAGGCTTCACCTGCCAGGGGCCCCCGGGTGGAGGATCGAGGGTGGGCCCCGCTGGGGAAGGCCTGCCGGAAGCGGCGTGTCTCCTTTCTCCGTGGCTTCCCGCTCAGCTTTGCTGAGTTTGTGCATCCAAACATTTGGGTGTCCCTCCACAATGGCAATCCCTGCCACGGGCTCGGAGCCATCCGCCCATTCTGCCTGCCTCCGACCTCGCCATCGGAAACGAGGGCTCTGCGGCCGGCGTTTCGCTGACAGTAGGGCTGACAATACCTGAGGCATCCGGCCCCAGCCCACAGAGCTGTCTGGGCTCCACGGGAGCAGCGTGGACTCAGAGCTGTGTGTGATGGAAGGGGTCTGAGAGTCACGTCACCATCCTTCCGCTGGAGTGAGACCTCTGTGCCCCAGGCGGCCAGGGCACTGACGTCTGTGTCATCCGGCCCATCTTGTGTCATGACCCGATCCCCTACGGTTTGCCCCTTCGAACTGCTGTTCTTTCAATGCGGAGTTCGCTGACCCCCTTGCCATGGGGAGGCCCGATCAGCTCACTCAGCTGCTAGTTCCCTGTCTGAATGGAAGTATTTCCCCATCTCCATACCTCAGAGGCAGCGTGGTCACCCCAGCTTTGCTAAGCACCATGGCACTTGCGAGTGCCACCATGCCCAACAAATACGCAATGACCCCCGTATTCTTCCCGGACTCTGCTATCTGCGCGCAATGGGTTAGTGTGCGGCCTTGATGCTACACTCAGCTAAGAGACATAACTGGCCAAATCCCTTCCTGGTGTGAATCCGCTGAAGCCAGTGGAATCACCAGAGATGGGTTCGGCTCTGGAGAGCTGCAGAGAGGGACAGTGTAACCAAGTGGCACAGGGATTGCCAACAGGACAGTAGCTTATTACAGCCCCATTTCACAGAGGGAAAAACCGAGATCCGGAGAGGTTAGGTGAAGTGACCAAGGTCATGCTGCAAGTCAGTACCGGAGCGGGAACAAGGAGGGCCATTCATGCTGAGGAAAACAATCTCAGTGGTGCCTTGATCGCTGGAGTGTCTGGCTATGAAAAGGTGGCACCGGTGCACGATTGAACCAGAGACAGATGACACTGACAGCCAGAGCCATCCCACAACCCGGCAACAACACTGGGCAGGGGGCTGGGCACTGAAAGGCTACAAGACACCAAGCCCTTATGCTGACCACCCCAGGGGAATAAAATGAGGAAGGATCCTTGTGACCGTCTACTGCAGGGGTGGGCAAAAGGGCCTCCATGGGCCCGATCCGGCCCGCAGAGGCCCTGCCGCTCCCCCACCCCCAGGCCAATTAGAGCCAGGGGGCAGGGGGAAATGCACAATGTTTCCTCCAGCCTGCCAGGAGCGCACGGCGCTTAGAAGCACCACATGTTCCTGGCAGGGTGGGAGGAGTCTTCACGCACTCCCCCGCCCCCAAGCTCTGATTGGCCTGGGGGCAGAAGGGGAAGTGTGCAAAGTCTCCTCCCACTGCCAGGGGCATGGGCACCTAGAGGGAACCTCGGAGGGGCGGGGCAAAGGTGTTTCCCCACCCCCAGACCAATCACGGTCTGGGGGTAGGGAAGCAGGGAAGTATCCGGGCCCCGCCCTTTCCACTTGAGGCCCCGCCCTTTCCGATGAAGCCCGGGCCCACGTCAAACATTTCTGAAGTGGCCCCCGGCAAAAAATTATCCCCCACCCTGGTGTAGTTGGACCTCCTGCACCACACAGACCAAGCAGATGTAGGAAAACACCCAATCTTGTTTTTAAATGGTCGCGTTGGAGAACCCATCCCGGCCCGTCAGAAACCGTTTCCCAGTGTTTGAAAGTGAACGTTGCTTCCGGGCCTGGGCGGGGTGTTACTGTCCGGACGACTCAGTCGGCTTTCGAAGAGTCTTCCTGCCCTTCTGGCGACGCGTCAGTTCTTCGCTCTCTCCGCAGTTCAGCAGCTGATCCCTCCGCGCTGGACTCCAATCTAGCTGCATGTCCAACGGCCCCCAGCACTGCGAGGTTTCGACACCAGATACACAATTCAGGGTGACAGCACAGCGCGGCGGAGACGAGAACCGAGCTCTTCGTTTGTAGCTGCCTCGTCAGGCGGGATTCATCTCGATCGCTCTCTGCCGGGAGCAGCGCTGCCGTGCGACACCCAGCTCCTGGACGACACGGAGACCTCCGGAGGGAGAGGAGGGCTTCAGGGCCACTCAACGTCAGCTTGTTCTGATCCTCGGTGGTAGCACGTTGGCTCTGCCCCGCCCCAGCCCTTCGGCCGGATGCCTCCACCTTAACGCGCACTAGTAGGAATTTTAAGACCTCCCCACCCCACATCCATGGACACCGAGGTACACAGCAGACCCAAGTGTACACGGGTTAGCTGCCACGTGTCATGGCTCTGATACAACGTGAACAGCAGTAACACTGCATAGGTTGCCACTGTTGCTATCTGCTGTTAGTGTCTACATCAGCGATTTGCAGCCTGTCCCGTTGATTGATTTCAAGCTGGCCCACGGCTGGGACCGCCCTCCTGTTTTGCAATTTGGGAAGGGCAGGTGCGGCGTAGTGGGGGGCTGTCTGCTCTGTGACCCGGGTCCCCCTGCGCTGGGATGGGAGATTCTCACTGACTCTCCCAAATGTGGATTCACCCAGACACCCAGGGAGGGAGGCAAAGGGAGGAGGGCAGAGACCAGCACCTGGCTGGGGGGCTGGGCTGGAAGAGAGGTTGAGTTTCTGTCTGGTATCATGGAGGAAGCAGCCTAAGCAAGGGGCTGGGATTTAGGGGCCCAGTCTCCCCCATCTCAAGGGGGACTGAGGCATCCTAGGCCTGGCCCTGTAACCGGATTACATCTGTGCTGTGCTGTATCCTGGAAAAGCAATAAACTCCCTCTGTTCTACTGGCTGGTGGAGTCTGTCCGTGCCACTACGGGGGTGCAGGAGGCGGGGGAACCCCGACGCACCATCACAGCAGGCTAGTTGCAACCCATCGTTCTGAGTTTTCACCAGTTGTGACCCTCAGGCGAAGAACCCCTGGGAGGGCCGCAGGTCAGGGCTGAGGGGCACTGGCTGAGTTGTGGGGTTCGGGCCTGGGAGAGCCC